GTGCACACGCAGCGTGCCTATACTTAGCCTTTACTGCCCTTACTATCATAACTTAACGCCACTTAGCACGACAAGTAGCCAGGCGGTCACCTGTGAAGTTGACACCTGATATTGTCATCGCTTCCGGCATTGCGCCGAGATCATAATGAGGAGAACGGATGCACACGATCTGGCACCCCTCCTCCTGCTCCTTCTCCTGCTCCGCCTCCTGCTCCTTCTTCCCCTCCCCATTCCTTTACTCTCCTTCTTCTCCCCAGGCTTCTCCCTTCGTACTCCACCACTTCCTCCTCTTCTTCTACCTCCCCCTGCTCCTCCTTCTCCTCCTTCTCCACTTCCTCTTCCTCCTCTCCTCCTCCTCCTCCCCCCTGCTCCTCCCCTAGTCCTCCGCCACATACTCCTCCTCCTCTTCCTCTTCCTCCTCCTCCTCCTCCTCCTCCTCCTCTAGAACAATAATTTTGGTGTCTATCTGCAGAGATAGATAAGTCGACGTGCGGCACGCGCGTATGGCATGTTGTTTGTGTCATAATTCGATTTTTGTTGTTTATGGTTGATTTTATCGCATATAACATTTCGATTTATCACACATATAACATTCGATTTATACACATATAACATTCGATTTATCGCATATTATTTGATTCCGCATCGAATCAATTCGCTTTTACACGGCATCGAATGATTCGATGCATCATTCGATGCGTGAATCGAATGGATTCGAGTGCGCGAATCCGAATGATTCGATGCATCATTCGACTTCCACGGCATCGAATGATGCATCGAATCAATTCGATTCACTGCGCATGAATGAATTTGAATCGAAATTATGAACAGAATACCACCAATCACGCAGCGGAGTATGTGTATAGCTGGTGACCGGTCGTGACGTCGCGGCGGGGAGGGAGCATGACGAACGAACGGCAACAGCGCGCGGACAGAGAGGAAGAAGGCGAAACCTGACGACGTCGCCGGCTCTTCTAAGGTTTAATTGCAAGTCGCGATGCAGGTGAAACACGCGATAGATTACGTCTCGTGGTACCGCAAGCACGGAGCCTCGCGTATACATAACGAGTCTGTTTGCTCGCTTATCGCCGTGCCCCCTACGAATTTCACACCAGTGACCCACACCGGCCTATATATGCCATTTGTGTGTGTGTGTGTGTGGTGCGGTGTCGTGCGGCGTGCGTGTTTGAGTGTGTGTGTGTGTGTGCCGTGTGTGGTGCTGTGTGTGTGTGTGTGTGTGTGTGTGTGGTGTGTGTGGTGGTCGGATGATTTGAGCGGCGGAGCACCGACTCCCATTGTAGCCTATTCCCGCCACAATCCAGTCCATATTTCAAGGACATAAACGCGGAATAATAATAGACACAGGTCTGCGCGTTGATGACATCAATTTTCCGCGCACGAGATCTAGTTTGCATATTTACTGGGATCCAGAATTAAACCGGCGGTTTGCTCCGTGCGAGGGAATTCAGTGCAGTAACGGGTTAAATTCCACTGTCACAAGGCCAGCACACTATACACGCTGAGCTTGAACGCTAACTTACACACCGAGCCTATCATGCGCGCCTTTGAAGATTGTCCGGAACAAACCATGTCCATAATTTCTAGCCGAGATCTTGATGATAAAAAAATCATTACTCTGTTATGAATTGTAACCGCTGCAATCACACGGGTGGGCAAATGTCGCATGTCCGACATCACCGGGAATACATACCATTACCATAATCGAGGAAGACTCCGAAGAACGAAGCATAATCCGAGAAGGCTATTGTCGCGAGTCGAAGATACCGCTAACGAACGAACAAAATTGATATGATCTAAATGCCTATCTCTATCTATCGCATAAAGTTAAAATCTGAAGTTAATATCCGCCCAATTTCGTCAGTAAACTTCGCACCCTGCTTGTGTAATTCACTAAAAGATCGTCGTTTCTGCTCAGGTATGCGTAGGCGACTGAATAACAATCGAATGCGTAGCGTCATCGGCGATGCACGGGGGCGACTGCGTCCACGGATGGAGACCCCGGAACCCTCTGCTGCGTCGTATCTGCTACAGAAACGAAGCCAGGCAGCGATGGGTGACCACCAGGGGCATCAATGCGACCGGCCTCGCATCACACGGAAGGCCGGCCAACCGCCACCAGCGCGACCAGCGGGCGACGAGGGAAACGCGGAAAGTTGTTCCAGGCAGACACGGTATGCGGCAGCCGACGGACCGATCGCGTCGTCAGGACTTCGGAAGCATATTCTATCTGCTGGCGCGCGCCTGACACTTCCTGGCCCGCACAACTCCGTCTCGGTGCCTTCTCAACGAACGCACGGATTTCGAACGGCGCGAGCGAGGAAAGATCCGAATTCCGTCGGAATTCGGCTGACAGACGGCAGCACCCTGCGCCGGTCTGGGCGGGCGGATCCAACCTTCGTCAAGTTAAGAGACCTACGGGCAACCGCGCCTCGGACCGTCCGGCGGATCGGGCGCCACCCAACGCGATGCCGCGAGTGACGGCTGTCAGCCGGGAACGACCGCATCCGGAGTGTGGCTCCGCGGAGTTTATATCGGACTCTGGTAGAACGACTGGAGACACCCACTCGCAACCGCCCCGAGGGGAGGAAGAGAAGAGGAGGAGGAGGAGGAGAGGAGAGGAAGAGGAGGAGAGCGAGGAGGAGGAAAGAGAAGAGAAGGAGGAGGAGCGACGGAGGAGGAGAGACGCCCTCCCTTACGTGCCTCCGGGAGAAACCTTCAACCCGTTCACAACTACACCGAAGCCGGCAACAGGCCGAGGCGAACCCGGATCCCGGTCGTTCCGAACCGGCCGGTTCTCTACAATGCCGTACGCTTGTATCGTCCGATGGAGAGAACGGAAGTAGAGAGGGGGCGAGAGGCCGCCGTGGCGGCGTGCCGCCACCAGGTAGCGCTGCCACGTTCACCGGACGATGCACAGTCCGGATAGCGCGCGCGGTGCTGCGATACGCGGACGAGATTCCGGAGGCGTTGCGAGGGCGGTGGGTTTCAAGCGGGCGGGAGAAACGCGGGCGCCGCGATCCAGTGCAGCGACCACACGCGGCCACCGGTGCGCTTGGAAAAGTACCTAGCCGACCCTTACCACCACCACAGTTCTGTCAGGCACCTCGAGAGAGAACAGCAGCGCAGCGGCAGCACATACAACAACAACAAGCAAACAGCGCGCCACTAGGCAGCCAACAGCAGCAGCGCCAGGCAACAACAAGCGAACAGCAGGCAACAGCAGAGTCACAACAACCCAGCACGGCAGACAGGCAACACTAGCAACAACACCACAGCAGGCAGGCAGCGAGGAGGAGAGGAGGGAAGCGGGATGACTATAACCCATACGGCCTGGCTGGGCGCTGCCAGCGGGAACCGCAGACTGACGTAGAGACGCGACAGGCCTCTGCGGTGGCTAAGCGTGCTCGAGCCGCAGACGGCCAACAGGAATGACTACCTACCCGTACGGAGGCTTCGGGGATAGAGGATGCGCTACCGGAATGTGCAGGCTCCCGGAGAGATCCCGGCGATCGTGACGTCATATTCGAAGACGCAAGAAGGGCGCGCGAGCGAAAAGTCGTGCGTCAGTGTTAACGGTTTGCTGCTGAGCAGCTGCTCGCCTTGATGCGAGAGCTCTATCCAACCAGGTCGCGGGCGCCCGAACGCCCGCAGGCAGCCGAGATTATTTGACAGTTGACGGAGTTTTTCAACGACCGCACGAGACGCAACGCCACCTGCCGCTTTAACGGTTCGAAAGCGTTACGCATGTGAGCGGAATTCGATCATCGCGAGGAAGTGGGACGTCTCCATTTGCGGAACGATTACGAACATTCTAACGAACGTGTTGGGTGGCGTTTTTACGGCTCTGTTTTAACAAAGAGGTGGCATAGCTGTTTAAGTGTTGAGTGAGAGCAGAGGAGAGGTCGATAGAGAGAGAGATGAGAGAGAGAGAGAGAGAGAGACAGCGAGAGAGAGAGAGAGACCAGAGAGAGCGAGAGAGAGACAGAGATAGATTAGATAGCATACAGAGATAGATCAAATAGATAGATAGAGTAAAGAGGAGATTAGGATAGATAGATAGATAGATAGATAGATAGATAGATAGATAGATAGATAGATAGAATATGATGTATACGATAGATAGATAGTATAGATAGATAGATAGATAGATAGATAGATTAGATAGATAGATAGATCAGATAGCTAGAGGGCGAGAGGAGCAGAGAGAGTGTTAGAGAGTGGCGAGTAGAGAGAGAGAGAGAGAGAGAAAGAGAGAGATGAGAGAGAGAGAGAGAGAGAGAGAGAGAGGAGAGATAGAGAGAGAGAGAGAGAGAGAGAAAAAGAGAGAGAGAGAGAGAGAGAGAGAGAAGAGATGAGAGTGCGAGTAGATAAGAGAGAAGTGGCGGAGTAGAGAGAGAGGAGAGAGAGAGCAGAGAGAGAGAGAGAGAAGAAGAGAGACGAAGAAGAGAGAGAGAGAGATTAGAGGAGAGAGAGTAATGAGAAAGAGAGAGATGAAGACGAGAGAGAGAGAGGAGAAGAGAGAGAGAAGAAGGCGAGGTGACGAGAGAGTGAAAAAGTGAGAGTAGGAGAAAGAGAGAGAGAGAGAGAGAGGAGAGGAGAGAGGAGAGAGGGGGGAGAAAGAAGAGAGAGAACATTTAATCGTATGTTTTTTTTAAACTTTGATCTTTGAAAAGCGAGAAAAAAAGAAACTGAATGACAACACAGTTCATATATTAAGATTCTTCGTTCTGGTCGATCGGTCGGAAAGATAATCGCTATTTTAGCTCCCCATACTAACCAGTTTTCGCTCTGTTCACACTTAGCACTATCTTATCTATCTATCTTTCTTAGCACTATCTTATCTATCTATCTTTCTAGCACTATCTTATCTATCTATCTTTCTTGGCACTATCTTATCTATCTATCTTTCTTGGCACTATCTTATCTTATCTATCTTTCCAGCACTATCTTATCTATCTATCTTTCTTAGCACTATCTTATCTATCTATCTTTCTAGCACTATCTTATCTATCTATCTTTCTTAGCACTATCTTATCTATCTATCTTTCTAGCACTATCTTATCTATCTATCTTTCTTAGCACTATCACATCATACAGCAGAGAACTCCAGTTACGCACCATCAATCATCTCATATTATCATATATCTCATTATCTCATATAGCGTGTGTAAATTAATAAGTAAATTTCTCGTTCGCAGATGTCCGCGTCTCTTGCGACATCGAGGCAAACCGCATGACCGTCGACATGCAGTTTAAGGACGACTTCAGCGGAGTGCTGTACAGTAAAGGTTACTACAAGAGCGACATATGCCGGGTGTCGGCGACAGGGGGCACGCGCCACCGCATCGTCTTCCCGCTTGACCTCTGCGGGACAGAAGTCATCAAGACGGTGAGTTTAACTCGAGATCTGCTCCCCACTATGGCTATGGCTATGGCTATGGCTGCCAGACGAGTAGTCTGAAATACTATAAGCACGAGCGTATAAGCTATAATAAGCTATAATACTATAAGCTATAAGTGCATGTGCTCACTGAGACTAGTTATCTCATGATGTTAATGTAATGACTCATTACTCATAATCAGTGTTGGATAATGAAAGGGGGTTAGACAAAGATGTACGCAGGAAAAAATACGTTGATGTAGTGGTTTAGACGGTAGGAGAGCGTGTGAAACAGAGAGATTTTTTTTATTGGAATTCATATGCCGCCTAAACATTATTCCCGAGTATTTACTTTTTAATTTACAAAAAAAATTCTAAATTATATACGTTTATTGCTTATTACATGCGTAAATTACACTTTTGAAATATGTGTTACTGCTAAGAATGCTTTTCGAATGACGATTGTTACTGATATTTGAAGTGTCAATTTCGTAGTTATTCGCAATTGTTGCATATATTCTCTTTAAAGAACACCGATCTCGGAAATAATGTCGGAGAAAATACTCGGCAATAATCTTTAGCTGGGACATGGGTTCCAATATAGGTGCCAAGAAGAGAGCCTTGTATGCGGCGGCACCCGCCAGTGAAAATTGTGAATCTTTTCATTAGCCCATGCACCAGGCTAGTAGCCCAGTAGGGAACCCGAAAATTATGATTATGGGTTCCAATAATAGAAAATCTCTCTGTTTTACATGCTTCTCACCCGTCCAAACCACTACATCATCGTTTTTTCCTTGCGTACATCTCTGTCTAACCCCGTTTCATTATCCAACACAGATCAGTGCTCATTGTTCTCTCTCTGGCTTCTACAGGGTGGCAATTTCCAAGGTAACGTCTTCTATAACAACACTGTCGTCGTGATGAACGAGGCTGCGTGGGGAGTGCTAGAGGTGAACGATAGAGCCTTCTCCGTGTCCTGCCTCTGGACAGGATCAGCGGCTAAAACAGTGGACTACGGCCTACTCGTACCGTTAGTATTGTTACCTATACACTATAATACATACTATACATTCGTATAGGCAGTGCGCATGCGTCGGTTGGTAAATCACATTGTACGAGCTGGGTGGATGAGGTGGTTGCTACTTAGGCTAACCTGGTGATTGCGTCTGCGCCGTGGGTCGTTGTCATGACGACCACAACCATGTGACGACATATATAGTGTATACGCCATAGATATCATATAACAACAATATATTGTTATATGATATCTATGGTATACGCGTATTTGCAATTATAATAATGCAGAGCTTACCTCGAGGATGTCTCCTAATGTGTAAAACTCTACGACACTGCTAGGTTATGTAAGTCGTAAGGACAATGGTTGGCCGTCGGGGGATTGTGCCACGCTGTGCAGCACACATAGAGCGGGAATTTTTAGTGTAATTACATTCACTTACATGTTTAGCATAGCGGTCGCGTCCGAGCTGCATACTATATAACCAACAAAGAAATATAAATTTACAATAGGATAATAACTCAATATATGTGATATATATATAGGGTGATAGCGGGTCTGCTCAAGACCCCAGGCAACAGCCAGTGCCTCGCCCTCGATGGGTGCGTACCGTTGCTCACAAGAGGACAGGAAGCGCGACCCTGCCAGCGTAATTCGCCATCCGTCTATGCAGCAGTCCGGCAGCCCTGATGTGCACATGCAGTGTTGCTGGAGCAGGACATATCCGATCCCTCGAGTGGACCAGTCAGGGCGGAGGCAAGTGCACTTCCCAGTGTCGAAAATCTTAACGCCACTTCGTATCGCCTGTACGATTGCTCTCTTTGAGGCGGTGAAGGCCGCATCCAACTCAGGCGTCCAGCAGAATTTCTGTTTCGGGCTCAAAAAGGGTTTGAATGGCGCCATGACATCTGAAAGCCAGCAAAGTCAGCCTCCCGCCAGGCAAACTGGAACTTGTCTGGGTTCAAGATTCCACCAGTGCGTCTCGAGGTCGGCGTCATAGTGGATTGTATCGACACAACGTTCATTCCGCTCAATGTCGGAGAGGATGGCATCGAATCGACGGTTGTAGCCATCACCGGACGACAAGAAGCCCTGGGGTGCCCGAGTATAGCGCCACCGTCCAAACGGCGTGATAAAGGCTGTCAGGTGACGGTCCGACTCGCGAAGAGGCACAGAGTGGTAGCCGTTCCAGGCGTCAGTGACGGTCTTTCAGGTCTGCCGTGGGATACGCCGAGCGAGGTGGAAAGGCGATTCAGACGCGAAGGTCTCCCGTTTACAGTGCTTATTGAGGGGGAGAGGTCCACAGTGCGCCGTGGGGTTCCGTCATGCTTGCGCGTGACTACCATGCGATGGCACCAGGTGTCTGGTTCACCATACGGGACCTTCTCAATCACGCCCAAGGCCGCATCCCTTATCAGGTCCTCATACACTCTTTGTTGCCAGTGCAACGGCACCGGTGCGGCCGTGTAACACGTGCGTGGTTGTGCGTCGGATTCTAGGTGAATCTCCACTGGTGGGCCAGCCATGCACGGGAGTGGTCGATGAGGACATGTGTTGAAAGTTGATGCAGCGTTGCGGTCGAGAAGCCATTGCTTCATCTTCTCGTTGTCCTCTGGTTTGCAGGGAAACGGGAAGGTTGCCGGGCGTTGAGGTGCCGCACTGCGCTGAGGGCAACTGCATGTGATGCTCTCATCGTGTTGTGCACTGCAGCCAGCGTTGAGGGCACGGGTTGGGTTGATAGAGGGAGACATTACCGCAGATTGCGCATTCGCTAAGCCCGACCAAACGCCACCAACCGACGGAAAGCTCCTGTTAATGATTTCTAGATCCAGCATGGTCTCGTATGATAAATAGAGATCAGTTACATCTTGGCTGACGTACACCATGGAGCGAGCGGTGATACCGGTGCCATCTGGTGCTCGGCCCTGTAGGCAGGCGAAAAACCCTCCGTCAATGGCGATGGGCGAGGAGTTAGCAGCGTTGAGCCCAAGCTTCACTGGCAAGGGACCGCTTTGGGAGAAGCCGGCGTCCAGGTACGAGTGGAGTGACCACAAGTTTGACTGCGCCCCGGTGTCTGTGATTGCTCTTGCAACACTTTTGCGGTGGGACGAGGGTCTACCGCACCCATGCTTCACCATGGAGATGGCGACCTCGACGCGTGGGTGATCTGCTAGGCGGGCACGACGCCATTCACCAGCACGGAATATATGATGTTCCAGGAGAACAACCTCGGGTTTCTTGCGGCGGCGGCAGCGACGTCGTCGCGGTGATGGGGATCCGCTGCCAGGTGCAGTGCATGCCGAGACTTGAGCGACCAAGGACGAAGGTGTTGCTGCCAGCGCATTTGCCTCTGCTGTGGGTGCAGTGGCACGCCCTCTACCGCGCCCCCTCCGACGGCTTGCACGGAAGCAATCGATACTCTGCTTGTGGGGTTTTGAGTTCCAGCCGAAGGCGTTCTCAGTGAACAGGTAGAATAACTTGCCGCAATCAGGGCACGGCGCATGCTGCTGTCTGAATGTGGCAGGTCCCGGATTCCTGGCGCTTTGGCGGCAACCGGTGGCGGGTCGACTTTAGGCGGCGCGTTGGCGCGTCTGAATGTGGACACAGCCGAGAGAGACGACGACGATGGAAAAGCATTTCGTGCCATTTCCTTGCTCGGGGAAAAGGGCAATGACGTCGTTCACAGCCTTCTTTTGAATATCCTCAGCGGCGAGCGCCTCACGGCGTATGTCTATGTCAGTGATGCCGGCGAGGAGGACGTTACGAATCATCTCGTCTGTGTAGTCGTCCTCGATGGTCGATCCGCACTCACACGTACATTTACTTCTAAAGCCACACGTTTCCGCTTTGCCATGAACGCGCGCCGCGAATGCGCGGAAGAGCTCGTCTGCGCCCTGTCGCATCTGTACCAGCTCGGCACGAAGGACGCCCGTGGCGACGGGGATGACGGTAAACGCGCGCATTACCGCTAGAACCTCCTCGATGCACTTGTCCATGATGGAAGGGTCTGATTTGACGATGACGTCGGATAGGGCATCGCTCGCGCACTGGAGTAGCTGCCGGGGTGCCGAAGTGTTGTCGATCTCCGATCCACGACGAAATGCTTCCCACCGGCGCACGAAGGTGTTCCACGTCTCAGTTTCCACGCCCATGTCGATGCGGGGGCGCTCGAGTTTTGGACCTTTTCTGACGGACGGTCTTCGTGGGTTGGTGCGATAGCGCATGAATATTCAATGCGGCGATGGCGATACCCTTAGTGGTGTCTTCCGTCTGGTATTTACATCCCAGGATGGGGCAGGCAACTATCACCATAGCGAAAGCAGGAAGGTGTCGCTTACATAAAGAAGAACTCGTTTCCTGAATAAGGTTTTATATCACTAGGAGTAAAATATTTTAATACTGCAACAATATTTACCAAGAAACGGTAGTAATTATATTTTACCGTCATGAACATTTGCAAGTATGGTGATGAGTCGGGTCGATGTAGTAATAATTTGATTGCCATATTGTTTTTTATATTATAGATTCTTACTGAAGGGAGTGACAATGTTTGCATACATCTATGTCTACGATCACTGGAAGCTTTTCACCTTACCTTGGAATTCGCCGTGAACTTGGCTTATCTGTTTCATTGGTGTAGATTTCGGCTACTATTGGTTCCATCGGATGGCTCATTATTAGTAATAATTATTACTATGTTCTGTACTTTATCAACATTTTTCTTTCTTTCTTTCTTTATCTGTCTATCTCTCTCTCTCTCTCTCTCTCTCACACACACACACTATCCCTGTCTATCTCAGACACTCTCTCCCACTCTCTGCCTGTCTGTCTCTCTCTCCTTCTCTCTTAATCTCCTTGTTTCTATGCCTTTCCCTCTCTCTCTCTTGCTTTCTTAATCTCACATCTTTATTTCTGCTCTCATTCTAACCGATTCATACATTCCTTATCGCCTCTGCCTTCCTCTCCCCTCCCTGACTGTCAGGGTGTCAACACAGCTAAAAACACAACTTGTGGTTGTCCCATGTGTTTCAGAAGTCAACGTGATATGGGCAGCACATCAGGTGCGCCACAGTTCTGAAGAATACAACTTAACTACGGCATTGCGGCAGTCAGTTGTGCAAACCTACACTTCAATTGTGAGTTGTTTTTTATATAAAGAGAAATAGTATGCATTTACATATGCAACATGCACAGTTTAAAAAAAAACGTACGTGGCACAATATATCACAACTTCTTTATCTAAAATAAGCGAGAATGTACAGATTATTCATTTATTTAAAGACAGTACATTGATCTAAGATATATTAACATGAGCTTGCAAGCTTCTCACCATCAGTGCAATAATGAAAAAGCAGTATAGATAAAAAGTGTTAGCTTAAGGAGCGACAAGTGACGATGCTGAGATGTTGGTGGACAAGTATAAACACACGTATGTTTACTTCCAAAGTGTGGGAGAATAATCACAGTAAATAGGATTATTGGAATTCTTGCACAAAGTTATCGCTTGCCGTGTCCTCATTTGCTGTTGCAGGTGTTTTACTTGCCACTTGCACTCGCTGTGCCACCGCCAATGTACATGGTTCACAGTCAGTTCAACCTACTCTACCAGTTCTGGATACATACTACCGAGATACCGAGATCCGAACCCCGAATACCGAGATCGTGCACTCACTAGGGCCCCTGGAGTACATACTAAACACACCAAGTCACCATAGAGTACACCATTGTATAGTCTTGTCATATGCATTGGTTACAGCATATCAGATTGTGACTGATGAATTATTTAGCAAATTATCAAATGTCAAGGTTAGCTGATTGTGAAATAGAGACAACAGATGCACCCACTCATGCACACACTCACAGGTAGGCAATGTCATTATCAACGCGCATGCGCAGTCATGTCATCTGTGCGTCTATCAGAGGTCGTGTTGCGTGACGTGACCGCATTCTCTCATGCGACAACACGTTGACGTGCTTGACATTGACAAACGGTCGCATGGCACACCGATCATTGAGGACACTTCCGTTAATCCGAGCCCCCCAGAAGTTAGAATCATCGACGTAGCATATCCTGCCTGAAGGGCACACTTGTTTAATGAAACGTTCACGTGTTTAACACAGCTTGACGCAAACGAGCGGGTATTAGATGCGAGAAGGTAATACGGCAAGGTACGTTTTACTGCAGACTCATGGAGACGTATCAGAACGTCGACCCCGGTGTCATCGAGGTGCCGAATTGCTGGCTTCGCATCATTCCTGGTGTCGATCCATTCGGTGGGGATGCGAGGGTGCTGCAGCTGGGGGAAACTGCCACCATGGTTGTTAGCATACGCAACCAACAAGGTATGGCTTGGCGTCTGGCGTCAACGAATAATAATGTCCAAGAAATACTGTAAAGAAAGATATGAAGATTCATATGGATGCTAATGTGCATCGCTTCCTTTGACTTGCTTTTTTATTTGGCATTTGGGAAAAACGTGTAGCTATAATCATACATATAATATCCGTTATTTAGAATATATATATATATATATATATATAGGCCTATTAATATATATATATATATATATATATATGGAATAGTTTATATCTTATTATATTATATATCCCCTATTTTCTCTCCCTGTAGAGGTTTTCGACATCTTTGTCAGTAACTGTTACGGACACGACGGGCAGGGCCTGTCTAAGATCCAGCTGTTAAACGAGGGCGGCTGTCCTACCAACACGAAATTCATCAAGCCACCCGCGTACGACCGCAGCACGCGACCCGGGGAAACCCACATGTACGCTCACTTCAAAGTCTTCAAGTTTCCCGATGCCGACGACGTTTACCTGCAGTGTCAATGCCTCGTCTGCTACGACCGCTGCCACAGAGTAAGTGATCGAGCCTTCGAAACGACTACGTCACGAACGTACTACCGCGCACGGAAAGAAACCATAATTAACGGGGGAGGGGGGTTAGCGAAATGAGTTTGTGTGGGTGACATAAAAAGGGTGGGGTTATTAACGGAAACGATTTTACCCGGATTTGTAACCGATTGACGAAAATTGCAAGGTGGGTATAACCGCAAAACGGTGGCCCAATTAAAAGGTTTGGTAATTAAGAAAATGGGGGAAACGGGAGGATTTTACGAGGCACGTGAGATGCAATTACACGATCCACCGATAAAAATTCTAGCATTTCGAAATAATTCACCTGCGATTCAACCGGATTATAATATTGAAATATAATTAATTATATATAATAATATATGATATTGACATATAATATATATATATATCAATAATATATAATATAATAGTATATATGATATGATATTGCATCCGCAGCCCCAGTGTGATGGCTCTGGCTCCCCACCACGAGTGAAGCGACAAGCCACCAGTGAGGAGGAGGAAGAGGAGGAGGCTGAGACGCCGGGAGAGTTAGAAGAGGTGAAAGTGTTCCAGAAGTTTAAAGTCAAAATACCGGACGATAACGACATTGCAGTGAAGAAAGAAGGTAATGTTGCCATGTTTATATATCTTAATATCGCTTCTTCACCAGCATCAACATCAGGCATCGTGTTCCTTTTTTGTCCGTTATTCGCATCTTCTGTTGTTTTTATTTATTCTTTACTGCTCTTGTTCTTGGTCTCGTTGTTGTTGTTGTTGTTGTTGTTGATGTTGTTGTGTTATTGTTGTTGTTGTTGTTCTTCTTCTTCTTCTTATTCTTCTTCTTTTTCGTCTTTCTCTTTCTCTTCTTTCTCTTCTTTTCCTCTTCTTTTTCCTCTTCTTCTTCGTCTTCTTCTTCTTTTTCTTCTTCTTCTTCTTCTTCTTCTTCTTTTTCTTCTTCTTCTTCTTCTTCTTCTTCTTCTTCTTCTTCGTCTTTCTCTTTCTCTTCTTTCTCTTCTTTTCCTCTTCTTTTTCCTCTTCTTCTTCTTCGTCTTCTTCTTCTTCTTTTTCTTCTTCTTATTTCTTATCGTCGCTTGTTATTTTCGAAGTAAACGAGTGAGAAGAATTTTAAGCTATTAAAATATCAATCAACCTCTATCTACGATTTGATCATTTTCAGTGCCGGCAGCAGGAAGTGCCAAGAGGAACTTCATCTCAGGATATCGGCCGGAGAACTGCGTTCCAAAGGAGGTCTTCATAGCTGTCCTCGTCGCTATCATGGGCATTCTCATACTAGCCATCACGATAGCTGTGTGTCTCTACATGAAGCTACAGCGCGTCACGTTGATATGTGAGAAACAAACACGCCACGGAGTACCGGAAATGATTGTACCGACCTACGTGCTGACGCAGCTAGGTGGCGACGGGCAGTGCCCGTTGACCGTGGACTACGTCGCGCAGCCCTCGCTGCAGCAGCGAGCGATGGAGTCTGCGCATGCGCACGCGGATAAAAGCGTAATCTGCGACGGTGTGAATTTTTCTCGCGACGACGATGAAGAAGAGACAGCCGTACAGGCGCAAAGTAACTAATAAATAAATAAATAAATAAATAAATAATATGTAATAATTGATGAAAGCGACGACAAATTACGCGTGTATAGTAACTGTACAGTGTAACGAATAATAGCTGAAGTGTTCGGCTATATAGATATAGATGATGTCAGTTTAACGCGCGCACACACATTTTGGCCTATATGAGCACGCACGCACATATGCACGTATGTACGCACACACGGACATATGCACGTATGTACGCACACGACGCAACACACCGACCGCACACACACACAACACACACGCACGCTCACGCACACATGCCACGCGAGCACGCCGCACGCACAACACACACGACTTGCAGCACACACACACAGTGACACAACCACACACAACACACACAGCACCACACAACACACACACACACACGCGAGGACAGCGCGCGACGCGCGCGCGCGCAAACAACATACCCACCTGCACACACGCACGGCACGCACGCCGCACACCACACAACAACACATGCCACAGCACGACAGCAGACCGCACGGCCCAGCACCAGCGACGCACGCACGCACAGCACGCACGCGAGTACACACCACACACACACACAACACACACACACAGCACACACCCACACACACACACATGCACACCACCCCCCCCCCCCCCCCCCCCCCCCCCACACATCACACCAGCACACATAAAACACACACACACGGACACACGAAACACACTGCCATCGTTGTGTATATTTCGTAGATTTGCTATGTTCAAAATCTTTTATGCAAACCATTATTATACTCTATATATTTATATATGAATGCGCTAAATTTCTAGGAACATACAGATCGGACACAAAAACTGGAAGAAGACTGCATAAATGATAGCTGTTTATGCTAGTTGTAAACGATGTACGAAAATGGAGTTTTTATTTCCTCCTAAAATCATAATTACCATCCGCGGCCTTGGCGGGTTATGTTTCTACCCGCGTGTGTTTGAGTGTGTTTTGGTGTGTTGTGGGTTGTTACAATGCACGTTTCAGTTTCACTTCGCTAGGTGCGCTGGCTGTACGACTTAACAAACACCCAACCACAGGCCTAAGGGGCAACCACAAGTCCTCCCCACCTCACGCGCTCGCACTAATCCGGATCCAATTAAGTATTTAATTAATTAAATAATTTTTTCCACTTTAATTATTTATTAATTAATAAAAAATTTCACATTGAGAGAATTCAGCTGCCTTGGCAGAGGTCTGTGCTCTTACGAGCTGCATCTTAGTTATTGTTGAAACCATCGCGATGTATTATCTCTGACGTCTGACGAATGAATTTTCAGCATAGCCTGATACTCAGTTGGCTACTCGCCCGCATGCCATTTACTACTGTATCGATAATTCCTCTGTAATATTCTATTTTGTAAGCAGGTATTAAATATCATTATTTAAAATCGTTATCCATTAAAATCGTTAATTATATTTTAACTAATTGTTTTCTAGAATTCCGTAATCATTCCACTCAACCGTTGTCGCTCATATTTTAAAATAAAAGATCGGATTTCGCATTATTATAATACGTATTAAGATTAAAAATTAATTATTTACAATGAAAACCCGCAATTGACAAATCTCGCGCTTGTCAATTTGCTTCAATCGTTTTCTATACACCACTTAATTCGACTATAATGTATTTTGTTCTTTAACTTTACAAATTCGGGGATTCGAATTTGAATAGAATTATTTAAAATTGTTTAGCTAATGGATTTCATACCTACATAAATAGATCAGTAAGTAATTGTGATCCCTCTCCTTGCTTCTCTGCTCTTTTATAAAAGCAAGAGAGAAGAGAGTAGAGAGAGAGAGAGAGAGAGAGAGAGACGAGAGAGAAGAGAAAGGAGCGAGAGGAAGAGAGAGAGAGAGAGAGAGAGAGAGAGCAGAGAGAGACGAGAGAAAGAGAGAAAGGAGAGAGAGACGAGAGAGAGAGAGAGAGAGAGAGAGAGAGACAGAGAGAGAGAGAGCGAGAGAAGAGAGAGAAAGAGAGAAGAGAGGCGAGAGATAGAGAAAGAAGAGAGAGAGAGAGAAGCGAGAGAAAGAGAGAGAGGAGAGCGAGAAATAGAGAGAGAAGAGATAGACTCTCTACCCATGGCAGTACACTGT